AAGCAAAAAAAAATGTGCAGGGGGTACAATAATTGGAGGGTATAGCACATTAATTAAATGCGCTATATATAGCACAGTAAAGCTATGCGTTATGCCCACCAATTATTGTGGGTCAGTCAATTAAGAAGTGTAGCGCATGATGGCATGCGATATACCTTAACGGATAAATGTGCCGTTAAGGTATAGCGCATGCTATCTATGCATTATACATAAAATGGCCACAGGTTGTTTTTTCCACTTATTTTTATGCTTTGAGTCCAAAAAAGCTACACTTTGGTTCCGGACTCCGAAACTACTAGACATGTGTTTGCGGTTCACTATCTTGTTTTAGTAGCGGATTCAAGATTTAAAATAAGTGAGTTTTTTCTTTTATTTTTACCTTTTTTTATTTCTACTCTACACCATTCATGTGTTTGGTGATTATTGAGCTCGGTTCAAGAGTTTTGCAAAGTTTGTTTTTTCATAGAGGCAGCATGGTTATAGTACCCATATTGTGCCAGCCATACAATTTGTACTGCTAGAATAGCAAATCTCATATATTTATGATCATCGATGATTTAGTTGTTGGACAAAAATGGTTTAAAGATACTTTTAACATTATGAGATACTACCAATTTTGTGCGACGCTCGTACGATTTTCCTAAAAGATCTCATACCATTAAAAGTATAATCTTTTTTCCTTTCTACTTTTCATGTGGGACTTTGTTCACACGCACCCAATAATCTCCCTATTAAACTGAGTTTCACATGACCTATTACCATTCATGGGCTACTTTGGAGATTAACTGTGTGTCACCCACATGATCTTGAGTATTTATGGTCACTGAAGCCCAAAGGCTGTGTATGTGTCTTCAAAGCTACGAGTAAAAGTTGTTGGGAACTCCAGATACGAGCAAAGGCACTAAACTGGGCCCCATGCCATACTTCGCCATCTCCATAGTCCAGCCAAATCGTTGGCTTGGATATCAGTTGTTAGGCTAAAATAATCCAATGATACTCATAATATGGTGTGATATTATTTGCGTTGGACTAAGCCTGCACGATTTTCGTCAAAAGGTCTCGCATCATTAAAAATATCCAACTTCTTTTAAGTAGAATCTTTTTCCTTTTTACTTTTCATTTTGGAACTTGTTCACATACTCCTACCAATTGTAAGGTTGCACAATTATTTTTTAGTACAATATTGTAATTGAACTTCACTTACTATAAAAGGAAAGTTGTAACTCGCAAAATGATATTATTCTCCATGTAACAACGCAGGATATGAAGTTTCTCACTGCCCAAAAGGAAGTCAAAACTTATATAAATTCTAATTCGAAATGAATGTACTCTGTGCAACTAGGAAGTTGCAATATCACTAATTTGACTCTTCAAACAAAATTAATAAATACTTCCTCTTAAAATATGCCATCAAAGCAAAAGCTTCAATTGTTGACCCGATTTTGTCAATTGTCAAGACTTCATTTGGCCCTATATTTTGCAACCCTATAGACTAGGCAGTTCCTCCCAAGAATCTTCCAAACCAAATTAAACTTTTTTCTTTTTCTTTCATCTTTTTTAGTGAAAGGCAATATATAGGAACTACAATAGTGAAAATAGTACAAAGGGAAATTAAAGCGTCGTGCTTTATGTGTAAGATAGCAGTCTTTCATGTGACTTTAGACGAATCTCTCTTTTGCAATTTGTCGATTGCAAATCTTTTATTTTAGTGAAATTATCGGTCTTTGTGCTCCTTTTCAATTAATAAAAAGACATTTCAGAAATTGAAAGCATATTTTTTTCTAATGTGGCCATACCCACCAAGGAGGGGGCGGATTCAAGATTTGAATGTGACGGGAGCGCTACTATAGAATAAAACTTGAGCAAATGCTAAAGTGGGAATTGAACTCAGACAACGCATTAAAAGTCATGTTATGCCCCTCAAATCGACCAATATAGCTACCTAAGTTTTGATTCTTAAGGTGCTAATCAAAATATGTATATGTTATTTAAGATATATATACATATGCACATATATTCCTTTCGAAGTTACCGGACCCTATGGCTAGGTCCGTGTCTTCCTCCACACTTCAGACGTCTTGAATTCGAATCCTAGAAAGAAAACTTTTCTGATAGAAAATATTTAACCCTTAAATAATCCTAGAAGGTGTTATTGCCGAATATAATTAAATAGGAAAAAAATAATGGAGGCATTAGTCACACGAAATATTATGAAAATATCATATGGGATTTTGGAATAAATTGAATATGGCGTGTGCGTAAAATAGCAGCCAACCAAAACTCAAAAGTATATGCCGTTTCCTCTAAGCAAATAGGTCTAGCGGGAATAGTGGACGTATCTTTTGGATTGCTTGAATTATTGGATGTATGCAATACTATATATATGTCGAAATAACGTGCAATGACTTATTCGAATTAATTGCAGGGGTAAAGTCGTGTATCCACACCTTTTGGAATAATATAATTTGGAACCATTCCACTAAATTTCTCTCTTGCTTTTGAGAGTAGAAAGCTAAGAAAAGCAAAAGAGAAAAAGAAAAAAAAAAGATAAAAAGTATGAGGACATATTTAATAAAACTTGATATTTCTTTAAATGATTTTCAATGTGAGATTCTTCTGAAGACCAATTTAATTTCAATCACTTGCGAGATAAGCTATACACGAGTTGAATATATAAACAAATGCAAAGAAATATGAAATTCTAAAGTACAAATAATTTCCCACTAAACATGTATCACATTCATTTCTCACACTAACATGAGAGTTTTTTCTATTCATAATTTTTTATGTCAATGGAGTCCGACCAACTTATGCTTTGGCTATTTCGTCGAGTATTTGCCAAAATATGTGTCAAATAACTCTCTCCATCAATATGTATAATTGTATACATATAAAAAGAAATCATCTAATACTTCTTATGTATTGAGATTTAAAAAATGATCTCTCGGATGTTTTTTTAGAACTAGTAAAATATAAAAGCATATGTAGTTGGACGAGCCTCAAACTACTAGAGCAAATCCATGGTTCAAATTATTATTCTCCTAATTGTGCCCTAACACCATTACAAAAATGAATAAACATATAGTTTAGGTTAGGTACACATTATTGGGGTTTTAACCTAAAGATACGAAAAACTATGTCCTCCTAAATTATCAATGTAACATATAACTAAAATATGACAACGAAAAGTCACAATTTTAATAGAGATTCATCACACAACCCCACATAAGCACCGCCCATCATATGATACGAGTGGCCATGATCTTCCCATATCTTATTTTCTTATTTTATTTTTAGTTTAATTCAAAATATAACCTCTCGTATTGAGTAATTTTTAATTTCAACTGTTTTTATTTTATTATAATAACACCTCATTGTAGGATATTATGAATTATTTAACACTAAAATTTAAAGAGTATTTTAAATATTTATATACACATTAGCAAAGGCAAATATATCTTACCTCAAGTAGTATTATATGACACGCTTCATCGAAAAAATTATAATACTAGATATGCAGACATAAACAATAAAAAAAAATTAGTATAGATATGAAAAATGACATTACAAGTTCTTATAATAATTTATTTATTAGTTTACTTTTAAAAAAAATTAACACTGCTCATCACAAATCTTGCGTATGCCATTCCACTTTACTTTAAGCCACTTTTACATTTTAAAATTTTGTGCTAATGATACACATGAAATGAAAAGGAGAAAAATAATTCATTATTGCTTTATTCGAATTTCGAAGTAGACATAAATAAATAAAGAAACTATGTGTACGTGGAATCTATGGGGAGTGAGTCACTAAAGCTGATAAGGCACGTGGCAGTCTATTTGTGCCCCCACTACAACACTGGCCGTTAATCAAACGGCAAACTCCCTTGTCGTTTTGTCTGGTTATCAGCTTATCCCAAGCCCGTGGTTTCCGAATTTCTAGGTCCTGTTACTCTCAAAGCTATGGTTAAATTGTTCTACTCTGTGCCCACTTGCTTGGTCAAGAAATTGAATTCCCAAGGAATTGAAAATGTCTTATTTGCATCCTCACCCTTTATATTTCTATAATTTACATTTAGTGCCACTATAAGTTTAGATATTTTTTCTTTGCTACTCCATCCTTTTCCGTTTATATGAATTTATTTATTTTTTAATTCGTTTCTAAAAGAATGACCTCTATCCAATTTAAAAATAATTTAATTTAAATTTCCAATCTTGCATTTAGTAAGAAAAAATTATAGTCACATAAATATTATGACATATTTAGGTCATAAGTTTCAAAACAATTATACCCAGACAAATATGATGACGTATTTAGGACCATTAAATTTAAAAATATTTATTTCTCATTAAACTATGCACCCAGTCAATATATTCACATAAATTAAAATGGAAGTAGTACTATTCGTTTAGGCTAAAGGGTTTTGACATATTTACCAAAAGTACAAGGAAACCAATGATATTACTAAATAAGACGAGGTTTATGTAGAATTCAAACGCAAATAAAGATTACTAAATAAATTTTGTGAAGTATTTTTTTCTTGTTAATATTGGTCCTTCAAATATTGAATATTAAAATTGGTCCTTCAAAAGTTTCGACAACTTTTGCAACAAAAATTATCCTTAATAATGTAATTTTATCTGTATATGATAGTATATAATTTTTTTCACAGCTCTTGTTACTTTTTAACTATTCACCTAAAATATCTTAATTTGGATTTTGGAGCATTAAAGGATCCAAATATTACCGACATACAAAATTCCAAATTGTTATGAAGGAAATATCTGTTCATTAGAATTGACATGATGTGCATAGTGTATTTATGACTTATACTTAACCATCAAGTATTAGCTGTAGTATTATCACAGACTTGCATTTGGACCAAACACATATTTCAAAAAAGTTGAAGGGTTCACCACGCAATTAAAGGAAAGTATCCCAAACCCAATAAGAAAAGGAAATAGCAATTGGACTCCTATAAATAGATACCTCGAGTGGTGCTTAGGTTTGCCAAACCAAATAGCCCAAACGGGTTTAGAAAAAAAGAAGGAAAAAAACTCTTCAAGTTAAGTTTTCTCTCTCTCTCTCTTCTAGATTCCTCTGCTTTTTCTCTAAACAGTTACACAACAATGGCGGCTACTCGGAAGTCAAGCGGACCGGTTCTCCGGTCACTTTCACCGGCCGGAAGATTTTATTCTCCAGGCCAAAGGACCGGTTCTGCTTTTGCTTCCTCAACTTCTGGTTTTTCAACCGGTTCACATACAATTCTCCACAGATCAACTTCTCCGAATCGTGTGAATTTATACAGCTCAAGGTCGTCATCTCCGGCGTCATCCGTACGGTTCTCTCTGGACCGTTCGACTTCACCGAGTCGGTCTATTTCTGCTTTAAACCGGAATCACGTGGTCCAGAACCGGAGCTATAAATCCTTGCCTAGTAGCGTTCAGAAAAAGACGTGTATGTGCTCCCCGACGAATCATCCAGGTTCGTTTCGATGTAGTCTACATAAGAATATTGCTGCAAGCGGTAGCCGTGCGCCGTCGTGCAATCCGAACCAGTTGCATATGAGGCGGTCCGCCATGACGAACTCGCTTGTGAGAATCGGAACTGTAGAAGGTGATTTGGTGAAAAGAGCGTTAGCCGCTTTGATTCGTCCTTCGTCTCATCAACAGCGCCGCCGAGGCGATTTCCAGCATAGACCTAGCCGGCTTTCTGTCATGTCCAAAGCCGAGGATTCGTAAAGCAGATAGCCGTAGAAAATCCTATGCCCTAAGATCCGACTGTGTATAGACTCTATAGTTACGTTTTTTTTTAACTATAGCATAAAAAAATCCTCTAATTTTTGGCGTTTTTGTCCATGGAGCCTCAAATTCTGATAATATATCGGTAAAATCAAACTCCTAAGGCCCAAATTTAATTAATTTAATTGATAACAATTCAGGACCAATGTCTTCAGTGTTTTTGAGTATCATCATCCATCCATTCACTGGCCAAACTAGTTTATCACATCAATTGAATTTGATTTACCGATATCCATTCTCCATTCTCCGTCACCGTTATCCGTTATCCGTTCTCCATTTATCTCACCGACATCCATTCTCCGTTACCGTTATCCGTTCTCCATTTATCTCACCGACATCCATTCTCCGTTACCGTTACTGTTACCGTAATCCATTCTCCGTTACCGTTATCCGTTCTCCCTTCTTCGTTTTGTGTTTGGTCAGGCTGTACGCCGTATCTGTCCCGTGTGGTTGTATGCGTGATTTCCGTGTATAGGTCAAGGTGGAATATATACGTATCTAGGTACTGCGGAATATATATATGTATATACGTACGTGGAGGTGGAATACATACGTATAAAACGTATTTTTTGTTTTTGTTATATTGATTTATTATCTGGCACTTTATTTATTACTCTATTTTTATTTATAAGATTTGAAGTTGTTGGCTGACAATATTTGTTATTTACTTTGCAGGTATTTTTCGTGATGGTTAGATTCGTTTGGCAGGAACTGAACAGTAATCATGAACATTATGAGAGACCTGAATGAACAGAGGATAATTAAAATTTTAAAGATATTTTGGACAACCTTGATTTTTGCAAATAGATAATTAAATGATTACAAAGATGCTTAATTGAAGTTAATCAATTTTAAAAACAAATAATGGTGAAAAGTACTCTTTTAGCCATAAAAACAAATAATGGTTCGGGAGACCCTTTAAGTTGGTTTGGTGAGTAACTTTGTCATGATTATATTTATTACCTTTTCCTAATAGGATTTTCTTTCCAACATTTACAAAAGCAAATTAGTAATCATGACGTTAAGATTATAATTTGGAACAGATGGAACACTTCGATTGCACACAATAAAGGAATAAAAATATAATATACTTTAATGGTAACTAGATTTTTGCATTGTATATATAAGCTATTTTCTTGTAGTTAACTTGCCTTTGGTTCATTTGGTCGAATAGCTACCATGAAGTACTCCCCGCGTCTCAAATTATATTTATCGTGTTTTTACTTAGGAGGTATTTTCGATCATTTACCTTTATTTATATGTTATCCTTATTTATATGTTATTAGTATTTGAACAATTATAATATTAGCTCATAATTGAGGTGTTTGTAATTTTTAAGAATAATTATTACTGAAGCTAAAATAGAAAAATAATATAATTTATTTTGAACTTCTAAAATGATAAATAATTGCAATAACTATATTTAAAAATTACGACACCTAATTTGTATTGAGGGAGCAGCATTAAAAAGATATCAAAGCGTATCTTTTATTGAAAGTGATTTAAGCCTTTAAATATAAGTTATGTTTTTTACTGTGTTAAAACATGGTCGACTACTTTGAGTTAAAAGATGGTTTCACAAAATATTCTTTGTTGTCCATGTTTGACACTTATCTTTTTAGTCATTAGAAAAACTGATCATCTATAAGTTTGAAAGTATTTAACTTAGATTTGTTATTGTAAAAATACAAATACTATAACAAATCTAAGAACACGAGTTCTAAGAGTCTTAAAATCACCTAAATTATAAATGTTATATTCAAGTTCATATATTTTAAACCCTTTCGTTTATTCTTTATTTCCATACGTGATAAATTAGTTCATCTAAATTAAATTGGAAAGAATATTAGTAAGCACTACTATAACGTATGAGTTCAGCAATATCTTAATTATACCGTATAAATAACCTGTACGTATTTCCAATTTAAAGCGTATCATTTTTCAACCACTATGTTAGTGTACACGACGTCACTAAAGACAGTCGTCGAAAGTCAGGAGCTGCTGCCCATAGTACAACACATTAGGAGAGACTGAGAGAATAGACAATTACAGCTAACAATGTGCTAAACCCATTAAATTTACATTGGAATAATTGACATTGGTTATTTATTAGGAATCCTATACTGAAATATCTCAGGTTCTCAACTTAACCATTAATATTGTGGTAGAATAAATAAAATTCGTTCACTTTAATTAGAAATTTTGTGTTTAATTTATGAATGGAAAAAAATATACAGTCAGACGTCTTTATAACAACATTCCTATATAACAACATTTCACTATAAAACTCAAATTTTTCGCAGTAGCGTAGCAGAATTTTTCAGAAGCGATGTCAGTGTTTGATAAAATGAAAAAAAGAATAAATCAATATAATGATAAGCAGTGTTATTTTCTATATTTATACTCAATAATTTCATCTTTCTATACGTATATTTAGTAAAATTCTGGACCAAACGGTGTCACGTGACACCGCTTGAGAAAGGGTGTGTCCGTAACTGGCTTTTCGAAAATCAATTTTTATGTTATGTTATAATCTATATTCTCTATAACATCACTTTGTTATAACATTCAAAAATATTCGAAACAATTGAGGCTGTCATAGAGAGGTTTGGCCGTAACGGAGAACAATATTTGCGAATCCGGCGTGGTTGAAGTACCAAAACAAATATAGAATGAAAAACCAAAAAAAAATCTCAACCTATAGCGTTGACTTTTCTGTAACAAAACTACTAATATAGGCACCTAAAAGGGGTGGAGGTATGGAAGGTTTATGGAAGTACTTTTTGTTATAATCTCAGCAGCTTCAAACCTACTATTATTTAACAACTTCAACTCAGTTCATAACTTCATATCTACTTCGTTATAATTTATAGTATTGCTTCCTAATGTCAACAAAAAAGATGATAGTATTATATTTGAAGTGTCAAACATTTTGTTAACCCCAGTTGTCGGATTTCTCGCTAATTATAAGAATCTGCTGTTACACTACTCTATGTATTACGTGCTGTTCTATAATGTAAATCTTAAAAGGAATTAAGAAATCGACAATGAGTAGCATTGTAATTTATATGTCTATACAATTCTTTTTTAGACATAGGGAATAGTATTCTCTTACGAGAACAAAGAAGTAATCAATTATTTCTTTTGTTTCAATTTATGTGTCATTATTTTTCTTATTATACCATTTTGTTTTAACAAATATATTTTTGTATTTAAAAATAATTAACTTCAATTTTTTTATTTTATCCCTGACGAGAAGTCTTTTATTGTCAAATAAATGTTATGGTATATTTAACCTTACATGTTTCAAAAAATTTATAACTACATAAATATTATGGTATATTTAAAATTATAAGTCTTTTTGTATCAAATTATATGCCTTAAATTGAAACGGGGGTAGTAATAAATATTGAGGCAACAAATGGGTTTTCTATAAATATGAAACAGTGGCCTTTCGAAATAAGTAGAAGCCAAAATAAGTAATTCTCATCTTAGACTTTGCCGTCTTATTCTTGAATGCCAAAAAAATAGTTGGCTAGGCACTGTCAAAGTCTTAAAATGAATAGGCAAATTAAAGCACTCTACTTATATTAGCTATTTGACAAAGGCAAAGAAACTTAAATTCAAAACTCAAAGATAAGGTTCTGAAAATGAGGTGTGTGGATGTGTCTTGTGAGGAACATTTTGCCTTCTTTGTGTTGTGCTTGTGCTTGCTTTTCTATACCACAAGAAAGTGAAATGTTAGAATCTGACCCATTTTTGTATAGCAGTAAATTTTTTGGATTCCCAATCGATGTCTGATATTCTTATTGGGATCCGATTAAATTCGTATTCGTACTGGGAAGTTTCATATTGGAGGTAAAATGTTCTCTAACAATGACGTCTCTGTACCCAAGACTCAAACCTAAGACCTCTGGTTAAGGATGAAGGAGTACTTAACTCCACCGTAATTTTTGTTGGTGGATAGCAGTAATGCTCCTCATAAATACTTTTTACAATTTAGTCTGAAACTTTAACTATAAAATTTTTACATATCAATTTTTAGAAAGATTTAGTTGGATCATTTTTGGTCTTCTACTCTTTGCCTTTGGGCAGTCAAAAATTGTCTTTTCCAACTTTTTAATTTAAATTCCTTATGAATTTATAATTATGCCGTTTGATAGTTAAAAATATTTTTCAGAAAACAAAATTTGATGTCTAAATATTATTAAGCTTTTGCGAGATTTTTCTACACTCAAAAATGATGAAATAACTTTCAATATCAAGATATAGGTAGTAAGAGTACAATTTTTTCCAATTTCGTTGTAAAAGGGTAATTTTTTTATTCTCCAAAAACAAATACAAAAACAAAATAATAGACATCAAAATATATTTAAGAAATGTATTTAAAAGAAAGAAAAAAAAGTAAGCAGGAAGATTAACATTGTGTATACGTATTCTCTTGGTTATTGTGGGCCCTTTTTCGGTCCAAAGCTGGAAACAGGCAAAAAACAAGGGGCCGAGCCCACTAAAAGATAATGGGGTACATAACGTAATCCAAATACTAGTGGGCCCCCGATAAATAGTAGTGTCACTTTTATATTATATTGACGTTTTCCTTTGACTACTTTAAGAAATTCAGTTGGACATTACGTCTGATGGATGGCCTACCAGGAATAAAATTTATCTGATGACCTAGTGGATATTCTCGTAATAGTAATAATAATAATAATAATTAATATAACAATAATAATAATAATAATAATAATATTATGTAAGCAATAACAATAAAGAGATAATCACAATGTTAACAAAAGGCAAAAAGAAATAGCAGGGGTGCTGCATCAATCGGTTTTCCCTATTTTGGCCCACAATCCAATTCGAGGCGTGAGAGGTTGGCAATGATGGGTTCAAGGAGAGGCAGAGGTAAATCAATAAATTAGATAATTAGGTAGGACATGACATATTTTCAACTTTACTATCAACATGATCCTTAATAAGAAGATGTGGAGGTTAAGAATTAAGTTAAGGTTAGTAGGTAGTCGCGCTTTTTTCTTTTACATACGAATAGTATTAGTATTACTTCCCCACTTCCTTAGTTCTTAGTTTTCTATTACTACCTCTTAGTTTTTTTTTTGTTTCGATTACCTTATTTTTCTTGTT